TCGCATCAAACATACATTAAACTTTTCCAATTCGGTGATGTTTAATTGCTAACGCTTGTTATTTTGCCGGAAATTCAGCCAAATTAGATGGCTTCAAAGATTTTGGGAATTCTCAGCTGATTAGTTCACTGAGCACTGCTCTAATCGCACTACGTTTGAGAATCGCTGGACAGGCAAGAGTTCTCTGAAATCAGAACTTGAATTGAATTTTTGATGGGAAAATAAGTGATAGGAGAATCGAAATCATTGATAATAATAGCTTCAGTACGTGAAAACAGGGAAGTGTTTCACCTTCCGTTCATCGTTACAGTTGTGATAAATATTCAGTTTCGGATCAACTGTCGTCAATTCATTCTCATGTCCTCTCAAATGCAATGTTCCTTTCGAATCGCTTTTTTTTTCGGCCATCAAATCGTCCTCTGAATGGTTGAAATAACATGAAAAATATTCTCAGTCATATGAAGAGATGGGATTGAGCAGCAGAAATTACGGTCGGAATAAGATCCACTTTTGGAATTAATTTTTGCATATTGCTCCATATTTTCTACTTTCGAATAAAACAGCTTTATTTGATAAACAAGAAAATAATCAAGGATGGAGATTTACGAACAGTATGAAGGCGATGATGCGACTTCATACATCAAGAGCAGTACAAGTGTATATGGAAAATGAAAGAGACTCATAGACTAAGCTTCCAAAGAAGATATCAGATATCAGGATAAAAATCTACGTACAGGAAGGTCGCTTGAAATCTGCGATATGTTGTGTTCTCTATTTGCTCGTGGGTGCCTTCATAACAACAGACGAACGAAAAACGCGAAGTAACGGGATGATGTTACACATAAATACATAGATGACGCACTTTAAAACATCTGAATGAACAGGATTAACAACTGATAAGGCGGAAGCATTGATCGACCTATCGGAATCATTTTAGGCTAATTTTATGGTCAAAACATTGAAAAGGATTCATTTTCCATGTTCACGAATGAATAAGTAGCAATAGAGATTTAGTATTCTTATTGCGAGAAGCATGTTCGTTACTGAAAACAAAAGCAAAAGCAATCAACCAGCCAGCATCGTTATTATTGTTGGGTGTCCGTCGTCGAATGGTTTCCGCGAAGATACACTCGATCATCGAGTGAATGTTGCAAATCTAATTGTAAGTGGAGCACTAAAATTAAATCACCAATTAAAGGAAATAAGTGACATTTCCATGAATAAAGAAATAACAAGGGTGAAACTCTTTCCGCTTGTTAGTAACTTTGATCGCTGAATTATTGGTCGAGAAAGGATTCGAAAAGGAATCTGATTGCCTTTTCACGATTTCGAAGAATAAACGAAGTAGAACAGAGATAACGAAGATGTACTTACTGACGATGACGTATAATTAGCGATTCAATGATTAAGAAAGTAAATAAATAAACTATTTTGATACCAACTAACAGTGATTGAACGATTACAATAATAATGAGACATTTGGGGAGAAATTCCGATGACTTAACTGAACTTACTGGGATTACTGACATCAAGTTAGGGCTGTGAACTGAGTTAAGTAATTATATGATCAATATTATATCTTTGCCACACATGCTGAAATTATGAATCATTTTCTGTTTCAATTTTCTGGTACGCTCGAATTGCTGATGGTCTTTTTGTTCGATTCAATAGAATTTATTGTTGCTTTATAGTGATTTTTATCCGTCGTCAACGCGATAATATAATATTTCGTTTAATAGATTATTACTAAAGGAAACAACCAAATGTTGTTCGTCTTTATTTCAATCCTATGAAATTAATGAATAAATAGACGAACCGTAGATCGCGGAACGAGCACATTCATCGAGCACTGCACACGCTACTTCAACTGGTTCCATCCGGCCGGCCATCGTTTCCTGAAATGGAACATATCAAAAATTTCAATGCTATTTATTACATAAACGCAACATTCACTTCAAATTTTGAACAGTTGATATGGATCGTACACGAAAAGCGTATCCGATGGTCTGCTGCCATTGAACAGAAGGAACTGCGAAGGAAACAACAAAAAACAATCGCAATGACAATCAATCTGTAGCACCTATTATCTGAGTGGTCTGGTAAGTGAGCCGGATGTCGATTTCATGAGGTGACCGTCCGTCTTCGCACTGATCCACTGTCCCGAGTCCACGCAATCTGAAATCAAATATATTAAACCTTGAAAAGAGAAATCTGATTAATGGGACAGTATCGTGCAGGTCCACGAGGATTACTCGTGGACGCATCAGTGATCCTTCGGCTCACCACGCCGTCGGATCTCATCCAATCTACTCTCCCCTCCTACCTTCCAAATTACCCAATTTTTACCTAAATGTGCATTTAGCACTGTCTAAACATCGGGTGATGAAAATACAGATAAAAAATAATGCATAAATAGGAACAAAATTTATTTGATGGGAAATTCCTTATCAGTTTCTCCTAATTACGAGTTCCTGCATCCTGTTCCAGAGATAAATAGATCATTACATGCCGTGTTCCCCCTTTGCTGTAAACATAGTAAATCAAGAGAATAATAACAACACTTATTATAATAATATGAATCAACAAATGAACAATTGTAAGCAATAATAAGGGGGAATAATATACGCATACAAATTAAATATAAATCCTTATTTACAAACAAGAAATCCTTCAACAATCTCATACAGATACAACCACATTTATAAATAAACAAACATTTACAAATAACGAAAAGTGGAATATGCACGAAAAAGTGATCACTTACCACGGCTCAACTTTATTC